ATGAAGATGAAGATGTTGAAGTCATAGAATTGTTGTGGAGTGGAAGAAGAAATTTGGAATTGCCCGAGACTGCGAGAAAGATCAAGCGTTTGCGGATCCGACAACGGCGGCGAGTATCACCTCAACCCCTTTCTGCAGCTATGTCGAGACGAGGCATAGAGAGCAACTTCACAGTTATCATACACCGCCCCAGCAGAATGGTGGTGGCCGGAGGAGATTGAGATCGGTCTTTGCTGGAGAAGATTCGATGTCAGACGCATAGGGTTGGAGAAAGATCTTTTCGGCTGAGCACTTTCTTATGCGAGCCACCTCATTAACAAGGCTGCCTTCATCTGCGATGGAGGGGGAAGACCCCTACTGGAGATTGTGCGGCAGGGAGCAGACAGCACATGACATGATCAGCTTAAGTATTTGTTGCCCTGCATATATCATGTAAACTGATAAGTTGGCAACCTCGAGCTAGGAAGGCCATTATTGTGATTCAAGCGTGGTGTCAAGGATACAAGCTTGGAATCCACGTTGATGAAGAAGTTTGCTGAGTAGACGTCACATTCGATTGAGGCTTCTTCTATTCTTGAAGCTTCCCAGCTCTCGATCAGGCTGTGAGGAGCGGAGCCCGACAAGGAGATTTCGCAGGTGGTGGAGATTGAGTGCAGCTCCACAGGAGTCCAGATAGCAGTATCCATAGAGAGTGCCGACCGAGTGGACGCAGCGAGCACGACGGTGCGTATGCGGAGGATGGGTATCATGAGCAGGATAGGAGACCGACGGCCAGGTTCAGGATCTATTGCGGGCACGAAGACAAGGAGCAGACTCACGGCTGCTCAGCACGGTATGCCGACACCAGTTGCATATCACTTCCGGTGAGGAGTATCGATGAGATGGTGCCTACTACATTAGAAGGCTAAGAGTTCGGCAGGCTGATTCGCGTGGCAGTGGCTATGCAGGAGCGAGATGAGTCTCTTCACAAGAACAGATACAGGGAGCGTGTAGAGGTTTCAAAGGGCGCGGAAGGCGATTGGGTACAAGTGCGGTGTACACGAAGAACGGATGGACTTGGAGCGGCCACTCCGTGAAGGTTCAAGGCTAGGTTGGTTGCGTAGGACTATGCACAGGAGAGTATTGATTACAATGAGTTTTCCTCCGTGGGGAAGCATTTCGTCGATTCGGATTTTGCCTACTTTGGGTGCAGCAGTATGATTGGAGTAGATCAGTGGATGTGCGAGAAGCATTTCATGGTGATCTGGATGGAAGAAAAAGTATGACTCAAGCCATTGGGATTCGAGCCTGCAGGGAAGATAAGTTGTTGGCAGGCTAAAGAAATCGCTATACGGTTTGAAGCCAGTTCCTCGACAGTCGGTAGTAAGGCATTTGATGCGCTTTTATGCTGTTGGTCATCGATACACTCGGAGCCCAGGTTTGATCCTTGCCGTGTATTTCGCAAGTTGAGAGGAGCGTGCGTACATTTATTTTGTTGCTTTATGTCGATGACATGTTGGTGCTTCTAGTTCCAGGTCAGCTATAGATGAGTTGAAAGTTCAGGCTTTCGAGATGAGTTGAGGAGAAGGACGGGCCGGGCGAAGCGCATTTTAGGGATGGAGATTCGGCCCAGAGATAAGAAGAAGGGCAGGATTGTTTGACACAGGTGCTATGGTTGAGAAGGTTCTACAGCGCATTCCATGTTAGCATGATACGAAAGCCATGTTTGTGTACCGTTGCGGAGGCCCATTTGAAGGTTCAGCCTGGCCCTCAGCGAGCATTGTAAGACCCTGAGTTGATGACGAAACTCCATATGCGAGCGCAGTTGGTCGACTTGATGTACGCGTATGGTCAGTACCATGAGCCGGATTTGTCACAGCGTTGCAGGGCATGGTGTCGTAGATAACCATGCACGATCCAGGCATGGTCATTGGGACGCCGTGGAATGGATTTTGGGTACATTAGACGTACCTTCAATCGTTGGTTTGGTTTATGAGCGCGGACACCAGACGCAGTGGGCAGCTATGCATTGCTATGTGATTCGATTATGCCCGGGGATTTGGATAAGCGCCGTCTACCTACGGGGTATGTGTTCCTTTAACCCGTGGCGCGCCGGCACATGTGCTTGGAGATGCACCTTACAGTCTACGGTGGCTTGCTGTCTACGACGGAGGCCCAGAGTATGATGGCGGCTTACGGAGGCTGTGAAGGGGCTATTTTGCTTCGCGAGGACTTTTGGAAGAACCTTGTATATCCAGCGATCCGTCACTATTCATGCGACTAGCATGAGTGCCTATATATTGTCGCGAGAATCAGGTTTTTCATGCGAGACGAAGCAACCATTGACGTTCGCTTATCACTTCGTTCGGGATGTTTCTTGAAATGGCGATGTGGAAATTGTGAAATCCACACGAAGGATAATCCGGCAGCATATGCTCACCTAAGTCGTACTGCGTAGCAACAAGTTTGATCCAGTCCCCTGTCGCAAACTTGGCACACATTCGTAATGTGAGGCGTGGCGGCCATTTGGATGCAACTACGCGGCTTGCATCCCTTGGGAGAGCCGGAGCGGTCGTCGCACCCGCAATGTGCCAGGGCAAGAGAAAGGAAACAAATATAAGGGACACACGAAAAAAATATGGGGGGGGAAGAAGAGAGAAAATAAATAGATGAGAACGACAACAAATTATGACAATAAATGTGAGAAGTTGCTCATGTTAAAAATGGGAAAGGAAAAAGAGAAAAGGCATGTCCGACCCTCAATAGATTCCAAAAGGAAGCACCTTCGCCGGAAGATTATTGCAAGAAGACCAGAACTGGGTGAAAAACAAGGGCAGAAGGTGATTTCGGTGGGAAATTAAAAACAGAAAAATTGAGAAGTAGAAGAAATAACTTCAAAAACAGAGCCTCCACCACACCCTGGTGGGACAAGATCAATGACCAAGAGCAACGAATATGTAAAAAGAGATAGAGATATGTCCTGCACCCCAACCCGGGTCAGTGAGGCACAACACCCAACAGATGCGGACAAAGAATCAGATGGCAGAGAAATCTGATCCATGCCACCAACCATGACCATGACCCCACCACACCCCTCCTGCAACCCATGAAAAGAGGAAAAAAAAACGCAAAGAAGGACCCGAGAAAGAAGAAAAACACGCGAAAAAAACACTAAGAGCGGAAAGGAAAAGAGAAACAAAAAAACAAAACGGGGATCAGAAGAAAACTAAACAAGCAAAAAGCATTATAAAGAAACAACCAGAAGGAAGAAAACAAGAAAAGAAAGCAATGGAAAAGAACAAAGAAAAGCCAACCAAAAGAAAACAACGATAACAAAGGAAAAAAAAAACATAAGAATCAAGAAAAAACCAATCACGGAAAAAATAGAAAAAAAGAAACAAAAAGAAGAAAAAACAAGAAAAAGCAATATGGAACCAGACTCATTTAGAAAAAATCACTGTTATCTTGTGAAGAGAGATCCCTCCTTTGGTATTGGGATTGTAAGTCAATTCAAATAAATAAGCATCCCCGTCAAATATTATCAGAGAGGTCTATAAGGAGAGAAAGAAGCGAAGAAGGATTTTAGGCATTGAAATATTTGAGAGCACTTGATCCAAGGGCGAGAGTTATTAATGAAGGAGTGAGAGCATAATGTAAGGAAGTGTAGGTTAGTATTTGAGTGTGATTTTGTAGGAGCTGTACATACCCAGTATAGATTTCCATCCAAGTGATAGAGAAATCATCAGAAAAAGAGAACCCGATTACATACGCTCCCATAACATGGACAGGAATTGAAAACCGAAACACCAGAAGTAATTATCCTTGATGATTTGTTTTAGCATAATTGTGACTCGTAATTGGCCTTTGGTTTGTGCAAAGGTTTGGCTTTCTTCTACTGTGATCACAGCGTTCGTTGTGAGAAGGACTAAGAAAATAAAAAAAAACAAAGAGACAAAGAAAAAAGAGGGGAAAAGAAAAAAGTAAACAAAAGACGAAAAACGCTGTCCGGCGCTCAAGCGCGACAGAGAACAAGGCTGTTCGTGCAAGGCTTCCGCAAAGACGCGCGACAACCAAACACTATAAATTAAGTAGAATAAATATAATGGAATCTGGATATTATTCAAGATAATAATGATCAAACAAAACCAAGTTTCAAATTTCTCAAGTATGAAAAATATGAATGTCAAGAAAAAAATGCCAAATCTACTGTTAATTAGTAATAATAAGAAGATAAGAACATATATCTCAATGGGAAAAACTCCAGCAACTTTTAGAATGTCAGGCTAGACTTTGAATCCTCTTATTCATCAAATTACTTGCAAGGAACCTACTCAAAGGGCATGATCTCTAAGTGACATCCGCACAACAAGCTCTTGCTGCTCCACGAGCAGCGCCTTCTTCTTGTTTTCGGGAGAGCATATTTGATTCCTAAGACAGCTACTCAACCGGTTGGTATTGGGTCGCCGACGTCCTAGGTTCAAGTGCCGTCTATGGACTTTGTACCAAAAAAACATAGTATCCGGAGGTTTGCACCCGTGAATGCATACGACACGTGTCTGCATATATGTCTATATTTCTACGGACCAGCGCGCGAGTGTTTTACAAACAAATGAATTAAGTTCAATTAGTACACATGCAAGTAAAATTCCCCTAAAAAAACTCATTACATATCTACATCGTATAATTAAAATCCAAGCCCATTAGTCCACATAATTACCATCCTAAAACTCTACGAACTCTCTAGACAACAAAGTAAAACATAACAGGAAAAAGAACTAAAGTAATCCTCTAAATTCCCCAAATTCTCAAGAACGCGCATTTGGATGAATTCAGCAACAGCAACAACAACAACAACAACAACAATAATAATAACACCTCCACAGATCATACAAAAACCCTAAAAAGCACCAACTTTGATTAACAAAGAACCGAAACCTCCAGCAATCCAACTCAAGATCCATAATAAGATTAAAAAAGAAGCAAACTTTGCATCAATAAAACATCGAGAACCGAAATCTCACCTTCCCCATTAGACTGTGAAGATCCAGCACAACCCATCGCTCTCTCTCTCTCTCTGTAAACAAGCCAATGATGAGAGAGAGAGAGAGAGATCAGACCATCGCCCAGATAGCGGGTCGTCGATTGGATCCGAATCCTAAACGGGTTTCTGTGGACTTCGATCTCTGTGCTTATTTCTTAGAGAGAGAGAGAGAGAGGGAGATTGATTATTATTTGAGAAAACTATTATTATTATCTATTGTTTGAATAATAATTATCTGCCTATTTATTGGTTCTATCTCTTTTCCGGTGGGGCCCACCCACCTTTTGCTTGACTCCTGGCTGTGACGGCCCAACTGCCTCGGTTAAGCGTCGGCGCTTCACGTGGCTGCTTACGCGGTGCCGTGTCCCGCGAGTCAACTTACTATATATACGGCGATACCAGTGAATAGGGGGTGCTAAACCGTATCCGTATCCGAGAAAATATCCGTAACCGTATCCGTTAGGATACGAATATGGTTACTCAAATCTATAGCTGATAGGATATGGTTATGGATATGGTTTTGTAGTGAAATATTCGTATCCGTATCCGAAATATCTGAATGCATATTAGTCATACTCTTACGATAGTTTCGATTCTTAGATTATGGATTTGTGGTTAATTTTAATGATCAAGATGTCTAATCTTAACTTTTCAATTATAATGGATATATTAACAAACTCTTTTGTATCACATGAACTATGTTTTTCTCAATACTATCTAGTTTTCTCATATTTGATTTTGTATCTGCATGCATATCCGTTTATATATCCGCATGTATATCCGTAACCGTATCCGATTTTAACGGATATGGTTATAAATTTTTCTTACCGAGGTATATCTGTATCTGTATCCGTATCCGAGATGGCTAAGTGGATATGGATATGATAAGCATCATATCCGAGCCGTATCCGGACCGAATGCACCTACCAGTGAAGGACCAGCAGGGGGGCAAGTATGGATTTTAGACTGCAACCCCCCCCCCAACACCACCCTCCGCCCCAATGAATCCGGGACACCCCACGTGGTGGGATGTTCTGAAAGAAAGAACAGTCAAAGCCCGAGTTCCATCTTCGACCCTAACCTGGTTTTTAGTTGCACAATTTTATAAAAAAGTTTTTTTTTAATGTCTGACAATGGTAATTGTGTAATTAATTTTTTTTTGTAGATTTCTGTACACTGTGTTTGGTTCAAAAAAAATTCACAGAAATATTTTATGTAAAGTACAAAAAAGTACCAAAATTTACAGAAATCAATTTCCTCTCAAAATAAGCGGAAATCACCCAAAAATCTGACACCACATTGACATTTTTCTATAAAGTTGATACTTTTCTATAAATTTAGGGAGTGTGTCCGATTATCATTAGGATTCTTTTTTCTTTTAATGACCCAAAATATGATTTCTTTGTATTTCTTAAAAAAAACTATAAGAAAACTTTTGAGAAGTCAAAAAGTACCAATTTTTATTTTTTAACTTTACTTGTTTGCAAAAAAAAAATGACACATAACTTTATAGAAAATAATAAGATTTCTTATAATTTGTAGAAATTAAACCAAACACCCCCTTAAATTTCGAATGGATTGGATCCCATATTTCATCCCCATGCTTTAGATTTAGGGGCTGTTTGGTTGCACACTTTTTGAGAAAACTTTTCTCAAAACATCTGAAAATGGCAAATTTGTAATTAAAAGTTTTCTAGAGATTTCTGTAAATTATGTTTGGTTCTACAAAAAATTTACAGAAATATTTTCTATAAAATATCAAAACCTACCAAATTTTACAAAAAGCAATTTCCTCTCAAAATGAGAGGAAATCACCAGAAATCTGACACATACCATATTTAATTAAAAACCTACCAAATCTTGTTATTTTCTATAAAGTTATGAGCTATTTTCTTGTTTTGAACCAAACAAGCAAAGTAAAAAAAACAAGAAAATTGGTACTTTTTGATTTCTCAAAACTTTTCCTATAATTTTTTTAAGAAATACAAGGAAATCATATTTTAGGTGGAAAATATTTCCTATAATTTCTAGAAATTGAACCAAACACCCCCTTAGATAAAGAGGAGATCGAACCCTCATGATTATTGACAGCAGTACTATCGTATCTTTTGTTTGTTAATTAATTATTATTTACTTTTGATTACAAAAATAATTGGGTATTACAGGAGAACATCCGTCAGATCGGTATCCTTGACAAAATATTAGAAGATGAAATCATTTGCATAAAAAAACATCAAATATCATGTGCCCCTAGCAGAAATTAACTTGCATTCAGTTTTAAATGTGTAATTAAAGAATTCAAATTTCCCCTCTTACACTAGGAGGGTGTTGGGACAAATTAAAAAGTGAATTGAAAGTGCAAAAGTGCAAAATGTGAAGATGGTGTAGCAAAATAGATATTATTAAGAAACACTATTTTAACTAAAAACGATTCTAAATTTTTTTCGCTTTCATGTGATTTCACCATTTTTTAGGGCAAG